ATTTCCATTTTATATAAATGTTCTGAATATTGTTTTTTATATTACCAGTACCTGTGAATGTCCTCTTGTGCTCCTGGGCCATGTGTATCGGCATATTCATAATATGATGTTTCCAGTACATGCAAGTTTAGACAATTTGCAATAAACCCTTCATGTTGGGTGATACAGTCAATGTTGGCCAGCTTTTCTTCAAATATGCTCATACCATGACAGCATTTTCTTTCCTCTTCAGTAGGCATATGAGAACACATGCCACAAGAGCACCTGGAAAGAAAGAAAAAAAGATCAATTTAATTTACATATTATTCACTGATTGATGGGCAATAGACATAAAAAGTACTTGAAAAATTCTATCAAATAAGTGATACAGTAGTTTTTGTGCATGTACATGCGATAAAAGATGATATGAATGCATCAATTGCCTTTCAATCCACTAATTATAAGTTTTAAGGAAAATTTCAATTTTGATATTAGATATTTCAGTACGTAAAAATATTACCTTTTTATGGAATTACAAGATATTAGAGAGAGAGAGAAAAAACAGAAATGTGATGCGAGTGAAAGATGGAATGTGGGCATGCATGTTTTATATACACTGTACTTAGATGAATGTTTGTGATGACTGTAGCTAAGTGTAATTCAAAGCATGTAGTAAAGGGGGAGGGGGAAAGGAAAGGATTTGTTCCATATTTGGTCTGAAGCATCCTTGGTTGAAGGGGCAGGGCCCAATAGGGGAAATAGAGGTACATTTTTTATGTAAATCCTCTAAATCGCTACTAGTCATGAATGACTAAATGGTTTTGATCAAATTTGGCCTGGAACATTATTGGGTGTAGTAGAACCAATGTGTAAATGGAGGGTGTTGGTTCCCTGGGGCCAGAGGGGTGGAGCTCAATAGGGGAAATAGATGTTAATCCTTAAAGTTGCTACTTGTTGTGAACAACTGTGTGGATTTTGATATCATTTGGTCTGGAGCATTATTGGGTGATCAAGAACCAATGTTATATAAATAGAGGGTTTGGCTTCCCTGGGGCCTAAAGGGCACGGCCCATTACCGGGAAGTACATTGAATTCTTTGAAATCTTTCTTCTTCAGTAGAAATGTATAGTGTTTTGCCATAATCACTGAAATATCCTGGTGAGCGATACAGGCCATCTGGGCCTCTTGTTTGGTACCCTAAACTTTTAATGCAGTTTCAAATAAGCACTACGTGAGGTATACATATTTTTTTGAAACAATTTTTGTTAATCAGCATGAACACTTATAGCAGTTATAGTTATGGTTGCAATTCAATTTTTAAGTTAGGTAAATAAATAAGATCTGAATAAATTCAAATATCTTTGCCTACTTTATTATGTTCTGTACATTCAGGACTACTCAAATTGTCAATTTATTGTACATATAATTTTAAACACTTGAGCATATTATTAAGAGTCATTATCACTCTTCTAAATAATCCCCATGAAATGTATAATTATATATTTTGCCTTCCTAGCTTAATTTTTTCTAAACATTTCATAGGAAACAAAACATTTCTTTGGCCAGATGAATCCTTAACAGATCTACACATTTGTGAAGAAGATAATTAAGCCTCCAGTCCAAAGACGGGATTATTTGGTTTATAAACTGAAATTCTTAATTTTATAGTCTACCGTTGCGTCACATTTATAAAAGAAACATGTATCTGACCAGTGATTATTTATGTTTATATGTTTATTCAAGTTATTATGATGCCAACCGGCTAATTTGTATTGCATGTAAATCATTGTTGCACGCATGTAGATCATAGGGCAAATACAACATTGTATTGTAATTATTTATATTAATACCATCTGCATTTTACATGAAACCTGTGTTAAAATTCATTGTTGCCCAGGAATAAATACAGTGTATACTCAAAAAGAAATGAAATTGTTTCCTGTTATTTCTGCTGGAGAAGACAGTCTGAATAATATACAGTATTAAAAGTGATTCATTCTGTAAACATTATAATACTTGCGTCGAACTGACAGCAATGCCGTTTTGCTAACGTTTAAAAAGAAAGTAAGGCAATGCAAATTTCTAAAACAAAGCTGTGGAATGATTTCAAGGATCAGTAGCTTTATGTCAGGCAGGCCCATATGCCTCAGCAATATATATACATTTTTTACAATTTGGCCGTTACGATTGGAAAATACGTTTGTTTGAAAAAGAAAGTAACTAGAAGCTAAAAATGATTGTGACTGCAATTTGACAAACATTTATAGAAATCCGAGTAGATAATTCACAAAGAAACTAACCATTCTCCGACAGGTTGATCGGAAGCCACGGTGTCTGCATCACTCTGGTCGCTGAGATTCAGTTCTTCAAAACAATCTGACGAATCTGAGTCGACATGATCGTCATTGTTCGATGTCTCGGGTTCATACATATATGGGTTGATATTTATAGAGAATGACACCTCTGGGATTTCGTCATGGTCGCTACAATCGGAGTTATATTCGTGCGACATTGCGAAGTTTCTGATGGATCGGCGATTGTCATGTATGACGTCACAGCATTTTCGAATTCAAGAACGATAACTCATGCTTGATTTTCACTTGCGATTTCGGTAGAACCTTATATTATTTCACCATTTTAAAATAATCTACACACCTGTGACGTTTGTAAGTTGTAAAAACATTAAATTGTATAACCAGGGAACGTTATAATTGTGGAAATACACAAAAACAAACCAGCCTTTCGTTTACCTTTAAGCCTAGTATGTATGTTATACAGAGACAATTATACAAATATTGCGAAACATTAAATGTCTATCATACCACTGACTATACCAGTATGATGTACATACATATATGCATTTTAATATTATCGGTATGCATTGTAAAGATAGTTACATGTACTGAAACCGATTTCCAAAATCCGTGTTGTTGAGTATCGCATACTTACTGTACGTTACTTGATATATATATGTGGGCTAAAAAAGATGTATGGACATTTAGGGTCTAGTAAAAAAGAACAAGAGGCCCAGAGGGCCTGTATCGCCCACCTGAATATGTTTAAAATAATTGGTATGAAGTAGGTGCAGCTGTAAGTACATATGAAATTTCAGAAAGATCCATCCAGTACTTGAGATATAGCGAGAACAAACTTCAAACAGAACCCCACCCCTATATGCAAGTTAGGGGGGTCATACCCACCAATTATACAAAATTAAGTCCTTTTGACCCAAGGATGCTCCAGGATAAATAAGGATAAAATCCCATAATCCCGATGGTCGAAGAAGTATTTTAAAGGTTTTACCTCTATTTCTACTATTGGGCCCCGCCCTTCTGCCCCTTGGGAGACCACACCCACTGCATGCTTAGACAAAATTGAGTCCCATTGATGCTCCAGACTAAATTAGGATAAAATCCCTTAATCTCTATGGTTGAAGAAGGATTTTGAAGGTTTTACCTATATTTCCCCTATTGGGCCCCGCCCTCTGCTTCCAGAGGGGTCAGACACACCGTTTATACAAAATTTAGTCCCTTTTGCCCAAGGATGCTCCAGACTAAATTAGGATAATATCCCTTAATCACTATGGTAGAAGAAGGATTATAAAGGTTTTACCTATATTTCCCCTATTGGACCCCGCCCCTCAGGTCCCAGGGGGGCCACACCCACCGTTTTTATACAAAATTGGTTCTCCTTTACCAAATATGGAACAAATCCTTTCATTCCTACAGACGAAGAATTTTAAAGAATAATTTGCTTTGTTTCCCCATATTGGGCCCCGCCCCTCAGGCCCCTGAGGGGGGGGGGGGGGGGGCACACCCACGGTTTATGCTAAATTGGTTCCCCTTCACCCAAAGTTGCTTCACACCAAATATGGAACAAATCCTTTCATTCCTACAGAATCAGAAGGATTTTAAAGAATTGCTTTATTTCCCGTTTGGCCCCGCCCCTCAGACCCAGGGGGGCCAGACCTACGGTTTATACAAAATTGGTTCCCCTTCACCCAAGAATACTTCAGACCAAATATGGAACAAATCCTTTCATGACTAGTAGCGTGTTAAAGGAAAAGTTGACGGACGGACGACGGACGCGTCGGTATGGCATAAGCTCACCATGGTCCTTTGGACCAGGTGACCAAAAAAAACCATATGTAAGATGATGTACCATGAGAAATGTTATAGTTGTCTACATGGGATAAACATTGTCAATTTTTTGTAAAACAGTATTCGAGAATGAAATAACCGTTATTTTGGGAAATGTAAAGCTAATATTTATTTTCCGGGTACTATTTAAGTAAAACCACGCTAAGCCCCAATGCTATCGACTTATTTTGACCTGATGTTCATGTACAAGAATTTTTTCTTGCTGCTGAATACATAATGTAGATAATGTGTCTTAATAAATAATTTCAAAGCCATATCGGCCAATCTTTCTATATAGTTGAAGTATTTACTCCCATAATATATATATAAATATGTTTGCTGGTCGGTAGTGCGATTGTATTCGTAGGTTATGTACTATTTGTATATTCATTGTTTGGAAGTGCGAGTGTGTGTGTATACAATAAGTCTCACCTTCAGTAGAAGTTAACTTGTACAATTTTTTCAGTTCACCTAGTCCGAAGGGCCAGTGAGCTTATAGCCATGGCGCATTATTTTCTTTAAAAGTCCTTTACAACCCAGATAATAATTGTCCAATGGGTTCTCAATTTTGTAAAAACGGTGAGTAAAGCACCCCCTCCCCCCTGGAGGCAGAGGGGTAAGGCTCAATAGGGGAAATAAAGGTTAACCTTATAAAATGTTTCTCTTTCCACTTATTTGGAGAATACACTTTATTTTGTCTGGAGCATCTTTGAGTGTGTTGTGTGCCAATTTGTAGGAACATTTAGTGTTGCGTATACTGGGTTAAAGAGATTAATTTGTTTATGAATAAATATCTTACACAGTTTCTGCTCATTATATCTGCCGAATTACTTTTTAATCAGAAGTTGATTGTTTGTGTTTGTTTCAAATTGGGACATGATCAACAGGTCGTTTTCTATCATACATTGGAACAACATTTTGTGTTGCGTATACTGGATTGAGGTTGTTAATAAGTAAATAAAATGGTGTCTTAAACAGATTCCACTAGTTAAATATGCCTTATTACATATTCATTTTAATTAGAAATTGATTTTACGGGTATGTTGCAACTTGGGACATGATCGACAGGTCGTTTTCTATCAACCCAATTTCTAACAACATTGAGTGTTGTGTACACTGGGTTGAAGTGATTAATTAGTTCAAAACATCTTAAAACAGTCTCCACTGATTAAAAATGCCTAATAACGTTTTAATTAGAAGTTGATTTTTATCTGACCTTGCCCAGGTGCAAAGTAAGCGCAGCGTCCGTCAACGTTTTCCTTTAAAACGCTACTTATCCTTTACCGTCCCGAGGGTTTGACTGAATTTTTTCGTCTGGAGCATCATTGGCCAAAGGGTTCTCAATTTTATATAAACGGAGCGTATGACCCCCCTGGAGCAGAGGGGCGGGCCATATAGGGTGAAAATATGTAAATCTTCAAACAACTTCTTCTCAACAAATAGAAGTATTTTGACCAAATTTGTCCTACAGCATCTTTGGACATAGGGACACCAACTTTGTATAAACGGAGGGTATGCCATCCTCCCAAGGGAGCAGAGGGGTAGGGCCCAATAAGGGGAAAAGAGGAATCTAGGAATTTAAACCAAAAGCGGTCTGAAGCATGCTTAGGAGAAAATAATAGATTTTGTATAAACTGAGATGTGTGGGCCCCTTTCTTTAGTACAGAAGGGTGGGCCCATTAGGGGAAATAGACGAAAGCATAAAATATTCTTCTCCTTTTGTACCAATAAAGTGACTTTAACCAAACTTGTTCTAGAGCATTTTTTGGGCAAAGGGAATTAAATTTTGTATAAATGGAGAATGTGGCAACCTTTTGGGCAGAGGGTCGGGGCCAAATAAGGGCAAAAAAAAAAATGTTCTTTAACCGAAAGAAAGATTTTGACCAAATTTGTTCTAGAGCATCTTTAGACAAAAGGGCACCAACTTTGTATAAACGGGGTGTATACACGCCCCCACCCTGGGAGCAGTGGAGCGGGGCTCCATAGGGAAAATATAAAAAGAATCTTTCCTCTTTTGTACAAATGAAGGGAATTAAACGAAAAGAGGTCTGAAGCATGCTTAGGATAAAAAGACCCGATTTGTATACATTGAGTCTGATGCATAGCATTCCGCCCGGTGACATTATACTATCGACGGCTACCATTTTTAAGGGTTTTGGTATTTCCACGCCTGAGGACAGAACCAATTACCTGCCTAACCTGGACGAACGCTCAACATTTAAGCCAAAGGTGAGTGCCATGAAAGGTACAAGGAAATAAAAAGGTAGGTAGAAGTAAAAAGAAAGATCCTAAATATTGTAATGGGTGCAGAAGATTTATTTCGGTCGCTTTTGTTTTGGTTTGGTTTGGTTTAGTATTGTTTAACGTCCTATCAAAAGCTATAGCCATTTAAGGACGGCCTCCCCTGTGTGCAAGATGCATGCGTGTAGTGTATGCGCGTGTGTTTTGTGGACTGCAATAAGTTCGTGTTTGTCTCCTTGTGATAGCGCGGAACTGATGCCGACTTTAAGGTGCTGCCTCACTGAAACATACTGCCGAAGACACCCAGCAGGACACCCCACCCTTTATACTGACAACGGGCAAACCAGTCGTCCCACTCCTAAATTGCTGAGCGTTAAGCAGGAGTAGAAACTATCATTTTTACAGACTCTAGTGTCTCGGCCAGGGGATAGAACCCAAAGCCTTCCTCACAGGGGCGAACGTTCAACTAAAGGCCAAAAGTGTGGCATTGTCAGGGGCGGGTATTAGGAAGAAGAAAGTTGTTTGGAAGAGAAAAGATAAGATCCCAAATTTAGTCGCCTTTTACGATCATGCAATAGGGGCAGCAGGTACAATCCTTACGCCCTATCTGCAGGGACCTCTTCTAAGGGACACAACAGCGACGAAAATAAATTTGCTGCACCCATTGAAATATTACGGATCTTGATATTTCTCTTTTCTTCCAACTACCTTTTATTTTTCCTAGTGCCTAACTTAGTAATACCTCATTACTTGCTTTAATGTTGAACGTTCGCCAAGGTAAGTAAGGCAATAGTCACTGTTACCAGGTCGGAACATGCCAAAGTCCTTAAAAATGGTAGTTGTTATTTCCTATTTAACGTTAGTTCGGTTTGGTTAATCGTATATTAACTGATTTTTTGAAACAAGAAAGGTCCCTATCCCTAAAACTCCGAATAAAATTCTTCGGTAGTATTTCGAAATTATAACATTTATTCCAGAACATAAAAAAGTGCATTCCTGTCGATTACAATGCATTTTGCAAAATGTAATTTACAAATTATTTCAATGAACAATTTTATAAGAAAGTATGAAACAAGCAATGGAGTTAACTCATGAAATATGGCAGGAAATTTCATCTAATTGTGTGATTATTTGGTCACCAGAAATGTCGCCATTTTCTTTTGACCAAATTAATCAGAAGAAGTCGTTTTAACATTTTAACAAATTTGACGCCTGTGACCTTGAAAAAAAAATCAAGGTCATTTCATGTCGCAAATTTTGTCGGGGTTCATCCTAGGAACCTATCAGCCAATTATTATGCTTTTGGGGATTTTAGTTATTCAGAAGAAGTCATTTAAAGGTTGTAAAATATTTGACCAC